GTTATCTTAAAGATATGTTACCTCTTAAACAAAGAAAAGCAAACATATATGAACATGATAAAGGAAAAATTATATGTTGGACAAAAACAACGAGATCAGTGACACAATCCGTGGAAATTTATAATATAGATTAACGTAAAAGCATCGACAAAATTTATGAGATGCAGCCATCGAAAGAGTATAGAATACTCAATGTTTTGGTATTAGAGCGTCGGCACGGTTGTATTATTTGAATAAAAAACCGTTTTGAGTATTTTAGAAAATATTGTGACGTTCGTTGTCAGTAATCGTTTTGCTGATCTTGTTGTTATTGTCTAACGTGTAATTTTTCCTTTATCATGTTCATATGTTTGCTTTCCTTTGTTTAAGAGGTAACATATCTTTAAGATAACTATCGGAAAGCTTCAGTTGTCACTTTTTAATAATTGATGATTGATTCTGATTTCCAAGCAGCTAGCTTGTCATCTCTTCATGTTATAATGGATTTTAGTGCATTTATTTTTGACATCATCAAAGATGAAACCATATACCAATTTAATAGAACGACGTTTCACATCTCTATCATACATTTCTAATAGATAACTAAATATACTATTACCTAAAACTATTAGCAGTTATCCAATGTAATCTTATAGCAAAAAAAACATGAGAAGAAAAAGTGATTAATTATTTTTGCAAAATATTGTAGTCGAAAAAACAAACGTCTTTTCAAGTCAAATTAAAGATTGAAATCTGTTACTGATTGTCATATTTATTTTTGTTGTGGTTTGAAAAAGAAGTGATGAAATAGATTGATATTTGCAGTTGAATATTTGATACTTATTCAATTGATTGCTATATTTGAATTCTTTTAATTCAAGTTAAAATTTTGAGTCACCCAGAATGATTTCTAAAGTGATATATCAAAATAATTATAGACTGAGATTCAAGAGAATATAAGATAAGAACATTTTCAACTAAAATATCGAATCTGTTTCTAACTAATTTTTGACAAGATGTTAATAAGATATTTTGTTAACTGAATGATTATCTGACACTTATCTTATTCAAAGAAATATGAGCAATAACACAAAACAGCATAACATGAAAAAAAAAATGATTATTTAGTAGTGTGTATGTTTTATTTTCACACATTCTCAATATTTAACAAGTTTCATACTAGTAAAAATTCTCATTTGCATATTTTTTAAGATGAAATTCAAACATTGAAAAGTGTGAGTGAGTTAATAAGTCTTGTGTACACTCGCATACCTACCTACTAAATATTGATAGAACGATTAAATCAATAATTGAACATTAGCTATCATTAGTTAAAGAAAAATCTAAGGGGGATCACTGTGAAGGGACAAGTTTATTAGAGTGTGGCTGTGTTTTTTCGCTTACCTTCATTAATGCTCACTTCAGACTGAGACGCTAACCAATAGATTTCTTAATCAATTAGCTAATTAAGATAAAATATTATATATAGAACCGATGAGATTCGGTGTGAGTGAGTAGGTGGTGTTTGGTGTGGTATGATTTTGGGTGTGAGTGTAGGATGTCTTCAGTATCGTACTCATACCAATTTAGAAATACATCAGGAGAAAAAGTCAATAGAGACTTCTTTATATAGATTTCGTAGAACTTTCCATGGCGCATCTTTAAGAAAGATCAAGATTTTATTATTTATCGATTCTGAGATATATGCGAAATGAACCACATGCAAACATTTTGGAAAACTCGATATAAGGGCTTACTTGTCTTCTCTGTTAAATGTAAACCACTTTTATATTTACAGTGTTGATGAAGAAATCTTTGAGTATCTCTGCATTCGTTGATTAGGTTCACGCTTGAAGAATAAATAGTTTATACATCGAAGCTGAAAATACTTCATTTCATTTTTGTCTCCTTTTCATCGCGCAGTTAGTTCCTCATAATTTTTTGCATTAGTTGACATTTTCAATTAATCATGTGATTTGACAATTTTTTTTCAATGGCTCATAAGATAGTTTAACAACATACTCAAAATAACAGTTAAACATAAGAAGGGTGGGCGTAGGTGTAGTCGAAGTATGGAGACACTCACATTCATACATATATCCGCACCCGCACCCACACCCACACCCACACCTAACCAACGCAGAAGAGCAAAATTAAATCAACTGTGTGCTCGAATCCATACAGTTAATTGTAAAAGTCTTTTATTTTAGCACATCAATGCTAAACTAATGTTTTTTGTTCCAAAATGTTAAACCGAAATGATCAGAGTGAAATTATTATCTGAGTAGTTTTGTCAATATTTGCGCTAGTCCTCATATTTGTGCTTCAAACAATAACCAGTACTTTTATTTAAGTGAAAGTGTGAGCATTCATGTCTATCACATCATGCCCTAACAATCGGCACATTAAGCCTTCGGTCGTTGCTATGTAATGCAAAGACATTATGACAGTTGATTTAAAGCGTACCATAACATAATTTGAGATGGATATGTCAAAAGGCAAACTTACATCAGAGTATTGAAATTTTTTCTGTTCTTCTACTTCTGTTGAGACAGATTGCGATGCATGAAAAGCATTCTATCAGTTTTGTTTGAAGTATGAATCATGTGTAATTGCTCACAATTCGCATCAGTGTTAAAAAAAAGAAGCAACAGTGACTTTCGAGATATATAAACGAAGAACGTTTTCAAATGTTACACACATTTTTATTGAAGTTAACATGAATGAAATTATTCCGATCGAATCGTTTTACACCGACGAATTATATGCACTTGTTCGAAATAATTTAGTAGATCAACTTGATGCTCGTCTACACAGTCTCAACAATCCGACCCAATACTTGACGACTCTCAGTTGGCATGGTGAAGAAAACTTAAGTTTGTTAATGGTGGCGGCTCTTAATGGATACGACGAAATAGTACGAATTCTACTTGCTCATTGTTCGTCTCAACATCAGGTAGAGTTAGAAGGAAGAGTAGCTATTTCCAAGGAAAATTTTATCGATCGCATGACAGCAATTCAGTGTGCCTGTTATCGATCACATTTCACTGTAGCTAAAACTTTGATTGAAATCGGAGGAGCCAATTTATATCATGATAATGAAAAATGGCTAAATTGCCCATTACTTATTCAAGCTAGTGCAGAAAATCGTCTTGATATAGTTCGTTTTCTCGTTGAAAATGGTTACTCTGATGTTAACAAGTCTTGGTCGAATGACGAGGACCAATGTACGGCTATGATATTGGCTGCTTCCAAAGGGTACACAACTTTAATCGAATATTTAATCGAAAAGAATGCTGATGTCAATTACACTTGTAAAAGCAACAGACTCCGTGGATCAACACCAATTACGATTGCTGTTGCTCAAGGTCATATTGATGTGGTACGATTGCTATATGATGCAGATGCGGATACAAACGTCAAGTTGAATGATGGTAAAACTCTTCTCATGGTTGCTGTGAGAAAGAAACGTTTTGATGTGATTGATTTCTTCGTCAAACGTTCAATAGTCACTATCGAGAACCTCGAGCTTGCTGCCTGTTCATTAGTTGTCACCAATTCGCCGATGCGACACTTACACCGCGCTGCAAAGCTCTTGGTTCTTGCTATTGAGTATTGGACATCTAGTCAGACACCAAAGGTATGTATAAAGCCCAATGTTGCCTATGAGTATCATCAAGAATGTCAAACAGTCGAAGAACTTGAAGCTATTAAACATGATCATGATCGAATGTGGATTGAAACAGCACTCGTTCGAGAGCGTCTTTTACTTTCACGAAATGATCATAATTTAATGAAACCGTTGTTGGATCATGGCGATGTATTAGTATCCAAAGGTGAGTTTGACAAATGTTTACATTTGTGGATTCATGCATTTAACCTCTACCAAAAAATGCAGATAGACACTTGTCTGCATCGATTCGTATGGTTATTTTGTAAAATGTTTACAGCAAATCAACAAATTCCTATTGATCAATTTCTAAAGGTTTGTTACCTGATATTCGAACCATCACAAAATAATTCGAATCAAAATACTATTTTCAATGCATTGTTCCTCGTTATAATTGCAACAAAGGTAAAATACTCTTTACTATCAAATATATCAAAACTGTTTCATTTTTAAGATTCTAGAACATCAGATTACGACAAGCGAAGAAGGAAATTTGATATTTCGATGGGTTTCCAAGTTATGTCGTCTGAATCGAGCAACTCAAGACGGAAAAACTCTGCTTCATTTATGTGTGGACAGTAGCAGTAATACGTGCCTTGATTGGCGTCCTAGTGATACTCGGCCTCATATCCAGTAAGTTAGCTTTTTGAATTTTAGAAAATGAAATAAGAGTGTACTCATGGTGTGATCCATGTGAGTGTGAGTTTCAGGAAAATGAAAACCAACATCTATATCCTCATAAGAATGAATTTTAACTTAGACAGATCAATGATGAACACCTTTTCGCATAGAAACAATTTTTGACATCGTTAAAGTGTTTCATTTGCAAGAAAAATCACTTTTATACTCGGATTCTGGAAAAAAATTATGAAAAAACTCAAAAAACTTTATACAGATTGATAGAGAAATTCTTTCCTTCCGTAGAACACAATCTATGTCTATTCTATGGCTAGTGACTGACACAGATTATTCAATTAATTAAATACTTTTATGAAAATTTCAATGGAAAAAAGTCTTGCGAATATTGCAACTTTATAAAAGTTTTGAAAAAAATCTTTTTTTATTTTAAGATTTCCAAATGTATCTGCTCTTCAATTGTTACTTACTTGTGGACGTCGTTGGTTGGATTTGGATGCTGCTGAACAAATGCATGGTTGCACGGCACTACATGTGGCATGCAAAGAATTGCAAGAACTGATTATTGTCGAATGTCTCATAAATGCCGGTGCTCATATCGATTGTGTCAATTATAATGGAGAAACTCCTATCGACTGCATAGAAAATGAAACTATAAGAACGTTTCTTGATATCGAAAAGTTTCCACGCCGTCTGAAATGTCTATGCGCTCGTGTTATCGCTGGCAAACGACTTCACACTGATGAACATGACCTATCGACATCCAGCTTAAATAAGTTCATCCTATTACATGATCGCCGAAGAGTTAAATCTACTTGTTACGATCACTATTGATATAGACACTCTAGAGAGGAACGACATTTCTTCTTGCTTTTCCGTACGTTCTCTCTGTAACCATATATCTACACATATATTGCTGTTCGTTTCTCTTTTGGTAAAGAGCATTATATTCATTGTAGTATGTGATTCTTCTAGCTGACGTTTTATTTTTCTTTTATGAAAAAGTTTCCCAACAACAACGATAAGTAAAATTAACCCAATTGTTAGATTCGTTTCAATATATGCATGTGATGGATGTTAATAAACAGATATAAGTGAGAGTTGATGATCGACTGTCAGTAATCCAGAGTCAAACAGACCTGCATACCTATTGAACACTTATTTTCCTAGCGACATTCGAAACTGCACTTTTTTCTCTCAGAAGAGCTTGTTTCATAAGCAAATAACATAAACGATGAAAGATCTTAGCAAAAAAGTGTGTCTCAACTGACCAATCGTGTTAACTATAAAAAAAATCATATTTCAGGCTGTTTTACCATGTGTCTAACTCAGTTTCGACTTTTCTGACGAAACTCGATTTAGGTCTAGACATGCAGAAGACAATCAGCATCAACATAAAATAAACTTATCAAAACTAATTCGAATTTATCAAAAACTGTTATTGATATGTGAATAAATTACTGCAATTGTTTCAAAATCCTGTTTAATCTGTTGTTTTCTCTTCGAAAAAATAAATTCTTTTTTTTTCTAGAGAAGAAATAAAGATAAATTAGATTTAGAAATATTTCATTCAATGATCTATACTAAATCAAACGAGAATTAAAATTCAAAAACTATGCATAAGAGTAGTAAACAATTTGTCTCTTTGTCTGACACAATCAAAACCATCCTGTAACTTGTGAACGATGAGAAATAACAAAACAATCGAAAACATTCATAGGAATTTCGTTATTGCTATACAAATATCATTAAATAATACAATTTCACTTACAATACTATCCTTCATATACAAAGCGAAGATTTTTATTAAAATAATCAGAGCAAAATACAATCAATAAGAAAGAAAAATACAGAATCAATTCTACTGTAGAGACAATTGCTTCTTCAAAAAATTAATTGTTTTATATTAGCACAGTTGCGTTTTGTTGCATCAATTATAAAGTTCTCTGTTACAGTTTTCAATTGATCATAACATATGCGCTTTTCAATAAGGCGAGATACACGCCTTTATATCAAGTAAAAATTGTTCAATATAATAACCAATAATATCCATAATATAAAGTGAAGTATAAGTGAGTAAGATAGAATCATGTCAGCTTTATGGTGATCAAAATTGCATAATGGTAACAAAAAATTGCTAATAGAAAAATGTTTCAACAATCGAAACGCTTCAGAAACTCGAATGAAGAACTCCTATTTGAATGGAATCTCATCGATCACCCTTAAATAAATAAAATAATTGCCCATCATAGTTGAAAACTTATTGGTGATCATTCCGAGATGATCAAATGCGAACGAAGTCGAAAAGACAGTGCATATCACACTGTGCCTACCAAAATAATCTATATTACAAGCCGTTTGATGATAACCTATATTTGTAGAAGTTTGCAGAACATCATTCTTAGATATACGATGAAATGAATCATTAATTTCAATTTGTGTACGTATAAAAAATCTGAATGTATAAAGTCGTTGCATATAATTAAGAATTTCCTTCTGAAGATGAGTACTATCAACAAATAGTATCATATGTATGTATTCTCTGATAACATATTAATGAAAAACATTTTAAATTAGGTAGATCATTCTAGAAAATAAATATATGATTAGAAATAAAATCTATGAAATAGATGAAAAAAGAATTCGGACGAACTATCGATCAAAAATATGATTCATTTTCAATTGTCTAAAATTTTCTGATATTCATTCAAGTGAACATTTTCTTGTAATTGTATGTAAAACAATTTGTTCACTTTTATAAACTTTGATCTTATTCATATTACAATAGATATTAAGTGAACAAATAGAAATCCTAATTAACGATCACCACAAATGTATTATAAATAAACTCATTCATTCGATAATTCATTTAATTGAAAAAATAATAGGCATCACATCTTTTTTATCTTTATATCTGTTAAAGCAATAGTCATTTTCAACCGTTGAATTAGTTAATTATATTGAATATGAATTGTTTATTAAACAAACTAAAATCATATGAAAAATCGATGACCGGTCGCAGCCGTATCCTCAAAGAAATGACATACTCTCTATTCATTTTTATTGCAATCGGTTGGTACATTAATCTATTGATTAGCTCACGTTTATGACTGATATTCGACATGCGATTGAAAAAAAAATTATATAATGTAAACTTACAGTCTTGTGAACAATTGATGAAGCATTGTCTATATAATGAATTCGAACTTTGAATATGATCAATTGTTTAAGACAATCATCCATAGTAAATACATTGATATATAATTTCGTAAGAATCGAAGAGAAAAAAGTAGTAGACGCTGAATCACAAAATGACAAGGGTAGATAATGAGTTGTGGATGTTTCAATAATGATTAAATGTTTGAGGTTTTCAAAAAAACTAAAGACTCGTGTGTATAAAAATGCAATATAATCTTTTCATGATATTGTAATATTTGTATTCTCATCATTTACAAGAATAAGTTCTGTTATTTGATGTTTGAATATATGTGGAAAAATTGACTCCTATAAATAAAAAAAAGAATGAAAGCGATCAAAGCAAGCGTGTAGTTTTCTTTTCAATGCTACTATACGTTGATTATTTTGCTTCTCTAAAATGTATGAGATATTCACCTGTAAAATAGGAAGAAACGATCTCTTGTGTGAAATTAAACAATTTGAGAGAAGTTAAATTTGGATAGTTGTCAGCAAGAAGAATACGCTCCATAGACATAGGTTCAAGAATAAGATGTTTCACATTATGATGAATTCTTGGTAATGTATCAGTACATAATCGATCAAGTATGAAAGTGTCAAGTGAACAAATATCATCATTAGTTGATGATCTTGTAACTAAACTCAAAGTGTTAGTAAAAATACTATCTTGTAACAAAACTGTCAAACTGTTTATTGAAAACACCCATTAATGAATATAAAACATCAATATTGTCAAGTTTCTTCAATATCATAACTAATAACTCATGTGGTAAGTCAAGAAGATGAAAATTAGATTGATTTAAACTATGGCTTGTATTCTCTTGGAAACATACATATACATATAATTATTATGACGATCGTTATATTGACGAATAGAATCAATGAATTTCTTGAAACGAGTATCGTACAGATGCCTAGTTCATTTTTATTGTAGACAAATGTTACTTTGTTTTGGACAAAAACTCACCTATTCGTCATTAATCCAGTGTATTTGTTCAGACGGATTGGAATACGAAGAAGAAAACGAAATGTAAAAATGGAGTATCTGGTGAAAAAAAGATTGACTGTTCTTTTTTGTTAGGTTGTTTCTTAGCAATTAGAAATCATCATGAATTTAACTTAAATTCTTAAACACGAACGAGCGATTTTTACTAATGAACTTTTATCTAATTATCAATGGAGTGAATAAAGATTATTATTAATTCAATCAATTTGATCACAAAAATTTTATTTAACTTTTTCTAATCAGGACTTCCATTCGTATGTTAATTTGAATGACATGACATTAGTAGATCGCAACAGATGAGTTCCAAACATTCGAGCTTCGAGGGTTGGTGTATATGGGTGATGATAAAGAGAAGAGTCACACCCACAGTCGGATAACTATAGTTTGACGAATAAAACTTGGCATGTCAAATAAATATAATAGTCGTTCAGATTTCACCCTATCTATTAGTACATTGTACGCATGTGTTTGATCAATTTTTTATGATCGAAGATAAATTCTTTAGGATAATTGAAAATTTTCCTGAATTCTAAGTTCTTCTGTAATATTTATGTCTAGTTGTTTTGGTTCAGAAAAAAAACGGAGTTACGGTAATCACTAATTCAAAAACGACTAATAAGTCACGACACTAATACGAAAGTCAAAATCTTTTTTAGGATGAATTTCATGATGTTTTCAATCGTTGCCGTCTTACTACTCTCAATAAGTTATCGATATTAAGAAAATATTAATATTCAAAGAGTCCTATATATTAACCTATCTGTAATGATCATTTATTTAATAGTGATACAAAGACATGCTTGCGATACAACTCAATATGAACATGTTTTAATCTTTTACAAAACTGCGAAATTTATTTTCTCGAGATATTTTTCATGCAGGCATGAATTCGATGAGATTAACATATATTGAATCATCAAACTGCAAATGGTATACGAGAAAAATAGTTGTGAGCTAACATTTGAAAGTATCTTTGGGTGTATTACGTAAAATTATATAATTATAAATCAGATACGTTCTAAAAAAAACGTTAATTCTCATCTTATCATATGCACAATTGAATGTTGAACTAAACGGGACATGAGTTCACTTAAACTGTTGAAACATTTATAGACTACTTGTTATTAATGGAAAACACTAGTGCAGATTTATTTGAACCAATTTTTTCTTTCAAATATTTATTCTAACATTTTGAAAGTCACATCAGAAGATGCAGAATTTTATATGGAATATTTCAAATTTCAGCTAATCCATTTCTAAAAATTCTCTATAATTTGTTCGTTTTTTTTAAAACATTTTTGATACTTGTATGATGTTAATCTCGCTAACTTCACTCTGAAAAACAAAGTTTACAATAATTTTTAAATGACTCAAAGATAGAAAACAAAATTGAATCATTTATAATGGTGTATTGTTTATTTTTCTGGCTCAAGAAAAAATTTTTATAATTTTCCAAAAGAATCTATAATTGAATTTAATATGAAGAAAAAGTTTTCATTTTAGTCTTAGTTTCAACATCTTTCTTATATGAACATTGAAATAAACTCTTGTATTTGCATGAAATTTAAAGAATCTAAATGAAAATATATTCTAAATAAAGTAAAAATAATTATTATTGTCCAAAACCTATATATTTAAACATCTGCATTAAATACAATGGATAATCATTAGCAAGAGGAAAGAGAAAAAAAATACACATGTTTATGTTTCAAGGAAAATGTTTTGTTTTTGTGAAATAGACAACTAACTAAATCTCAAAAAATGAAAAAGTTTAAATTTTTGTTTTTTTGTGCATCTCATTATTTTGTACCACGTGTTGTATATAAATGTTGATCAGCTGGTGTACCTTGTCCATAATCACCTTTAACATTAATAATTGATTCATTTTTTGTTTTTGTTGTATGTAAAATACGATCTTTATTTACTAAAACTGATGGTATATTTGATTTTGTTTTATCTATTATATATATATATAGAAAACAAAAATGAATTCAATTTTATATCAGTATAAAAATAAATTTACTATCGAAAAGATTTTTTGATTGATCTTTAATTCGAATATAAACTTGATCAAGTAAATTTGCTGATTGTTTTGGATAACAAGCACTTAATGCAACAAGAGCAGCTACTGATGAATAAAATGTTTTTCGTATTGGACCACCTTTATGACCAAGAAGAAGACCACCAAGACCAGCTATAGTAACAACACCAACTTTTGGTAGAAAAGTTTGATCATCATGTATATAATCAATTGTAGCTATTATTTAAAAGATATATTAATACAACAATTCAAAAACAAAAAACAAATGATTCTACTTTTAGCATGTGCTCCTCCAGTTTCAATTCCACGAGCAATTCTTGAACGTAATGCCTATATATATGAAAAAAAAAAGTGGAAAAAGCAATATTTACTAAAAAAAAAAAATAAACCTCATTATCATTCCATGTTTCTTGTACTGATTGTCTTATTTGACTGACATACGGGTAAAGCCAATTCTTATTCTTAGTAGTATTTGTTTTTAATTGATTATCATTTGTTTGTGGAACAGATCGATAAGTATCATCATTTTTTACATCATAATAAATTGGTAACTAAATATCGAAAATTACAAAAAGAAAAACAAACAAACAATAATTTGTGTTATTGAATTTAAATAAAAAAACAAAACCTTACATCACGAACTCGTACAATACGTGAATTTTGTGTTGATCCGGTAGTATTGTCTGATATAGGCGGCATTAGAATATATTCATAAAAATGATTATCTATAATAATGAAAAATAACTTTCAAAACAAGTTTTTTAACCACCAGTCCAAAAGCCATTTCTCTTACTCACTTAAGTAGTTGACCTATCACATGTCATGATGTTAAGCGACATCTATAATAGTCAATGATGAGAATTATGAAAATAATATTTTCACTGAAGGTCTAGACTATGTAAATAGTTTATAGAATTAGTTTTCATTGAATAATAAGCTCATACATACACATTCGACACCATCACAGAGCGCTTTTTTGTCGCTCTATTGTGGTCATTGGCGGCGTAATATTTTTTTTAATCAAGTTAAACATAAGATAAGATGAATCTTTGAATATCGCTTAAATGAAACACATTTAGTGTCTCTTTTATTGAATTGAAAATGTTTTCGCAGATTTTAGTTAGTTTAGCTAAATTTTGTTTGATATAGATTTTCTTCACTTCATGTCATTGCTGATATAAATTAGACTGCAACGCGTTTAAGACACGTCAATATTCTCTAATAGAAAGAGCATTGAAAACGGAATAACACTATAATTTTGTTTTACAATTACTTTTTATAAAAGTGTTGTTTTAGACACTAGTTTACGTTTGATACATATTCTATTAGTAATTAAGAAAAGCGAGCTCGAACCATAAATTTTTTATACTCTTCTGTGATGTGTTCATTATTTGATACAATCTTGACATCTTCGATCATTAATTTCAACGATGGTTTTCAGTTATTTTTCGCTTGCATCACATCCTATTGTTTTCAAAATGCTATATCTGATGAGAAACATATTGTACAGAAAAAGGCAAGATAACATTTGATAAAAACAAAGTCTGCACTAGAAAATGAATTTTTAAAAAGTTTCGAAGACTATGATTAAAGTATTTGTTAGATTTTTATTAGTATTAAAAAAAAACTTCCTTTTAAAAAGTGTTTCTTTGCTTATTAGTTTTTAATGTTAAATTATTATAACTGATAATTTTTCAAAATTTTTATACTAAAATGTAGTCCGTTTCATTTTGATTTTGGCAGTACATTTTTGAAAAGTGTCTCAAATTCTTGTCTGCTAGAGAAAAATGAAAATTCCTTCTATAATATTGATTTGTGTCAAAGTAAAATGTAATGTGCTGCTCAAATCTAAAACTTTGATGAAAGAAGAAAAGTATTTGAGCTTACCCAAGCCTTCTGGCTCTACTGTCTATATGACTATATTCCATTATCTTGCCCTACAGAGTGTATATAAACTAAGATTGTCTATGAAATCAATTGATTAACTAACACATGATATTATTTCTATTGAAATATCTTCAATCTGTTTGACACACATAAAAATGCAAAATGCTATTCGATACGTTTTTTTTTCTTGATATAGATGTTTAGACAATCAATGGAATGAAATATATATAAATCGGATATATAGGATTTTATTTGCTTCTACAGAAGTTTACACAGAAATATGAAATGAGGTATAGATATAGTTTTGACAGACTTTTTTCGTTTTGTTTTTTTATCATTCATATGAATTTTTCATTTATTAAAATCAACTTTTAGATATTAGATGCGAATGTGAGTGTTTAACTTTAATGAGTATCTTTTCTACACTCGCATCCTTTCTGATTAATGGAGTTGCGTTATTATTGACAAATTTGAATATTTTTCTTTTCTTTTTAAGAAATAATTGAATATTGTTGAAGTTCTTTGAAAAACAAAAATAATCAAAGAACATATGATAAAAATGAAATTTATCTTATACAATTTATCTTTGCTTTATTTTTTATTTCACCAAATTGTTTAACTGTGTTTACGTTATATTCATATTCATTTTTAATTGTATATTACTTATATTGTTAATTGTTTTCAATCAGCAAGACTCGAAATTATTTCAGGAGTTGAATAATCTTGAATATTAATTGAGAATATTGCATTTTGTGGAGTATAGCTAAAGAGAAAAAACACATAAATATCTACATACTACACATTTATCCTCTTAATGAATAGAAGGCGGCACTAGCTTGCATTTCTCAAGTTCTTTTTTTCTACTATTAGCATAAAACAAGACTTTTAATCCATAAATATCTAAAGAAATGTTGGCCTTTTCAAATTTTATTTTCCAAAATCTCTATGTTTATATAGAAGTGTCTAGAAAATACAAAAATCAATTCAACATTTTTAAATGCATGTTACTAGTAGAGTAGTCTATATCTGAAAATATGTATTTTGATTTGATACAAATAATTTTGAAGACATTTAGTTCTGTTCAATTGAATCTTCAGGATTGTGTTGTGTATCATTTGTTTGTGTAGTAACATCGATTTGTGGTGTTTCCTTTTTGCAAAAAACATAGAGCATGAGACATATAAGCGTTAGAATGCTAAACGACGATGTTTTTATTGGTTGACATGTTTTTGTCTCTATTTCACAGTAACTTGAATGACATGACCGATTTGTTTGACAATGTTCATCGATAAATTGTCGATACTGACAAGTATTGCTTTCTGAATCACAGTAATTATCGATGCAAGAGTAATCATATTCACATTTTTCTTTAATATTTTTCAAAAGTTGACAAGTTGAATTTTTGTCTGGATCACACCAAGATGCAATATCACATTCTCGAATATGATGAGTATAACCAGAGCATTTATGACCTCTAGGTATTGGCTGCTGACATTTTCCATTGCTACTGCAATAGTACGGACATTCGTCATCATTTAAACATGAGCTGTATGTTTCAATTGGATTTATCAATAAAATACAAATAACGAAAATAATCAACATGTTTTTACTAGATGGAAATGCTTTTAACTATACTTTTTCTGTTGTAATCACTACTTCGGCATATATATTAATATGCTTGAGAAACAACGAACATTCTATCTTTGTTCCTGTTGGTCACTATTTACATATAAAAATTAGACTAAAAGGTGATTGGAACGAAAATGTAATGTAGAGTGCGCTAGTGCACATTATTTTGTTAAATGCCGTGGACTACCGTTCTTTGATGTGCAAACTAAAACGCACTGAAATGCAAGTATCCGACTATCTACGATGAAAGAGAAATCAACGTTTGATTCAGATGCTCATGTAAATAAAAGTATATACAAAGCTGACAGAAAAATTTTCATTTTTAACAAGGAATAGTATAAACGGTATTGATGACTAAGAATTACCATGGTACTACAGTAGTAGTATGAACTGTTCTAATGTTCTACGACTATTGAAAATGTTGCTGCAAGAGAGAGCGACAGCTAAATATTGATATAAAGGACGATTTTATTATTTTCGAAGCATCAATTCTACGATATGTTGGTAAACTTGTACTCTTGTTGTTTTCAGATAGTCAATGTCATCATTTTTGGTATTACAGAAGGATTGATGGTTTCAGTATTTAAACTTTGAAATTTGACTTCCCAATTTTTTGTGCCTGAAGTATTCCCAAGAACAAAAATTAACTCTTTGTTTTTTTTTTAGTTTGATTTTTTATATGAAGTCTGACAAATCATCACGAAAATAATCAACCGTCTTCGAACACTATGAAAATTCCATTGTTGATCGATTGGCATTCATTCAACAAAGCGAACATTTTTCTGCCATTGATTTACTGATTTGTTTTTCATTGAAATCCGTTTGTTATAGAATTAATTTAGAACTGTCGCTTAATGCAATCAAACAGATTAACAAGACCAACTTGGACTATTTGATAATAAAAAGCTTCTTTCCTTAAGATATTCGCTTAGCTGACATTTATTGCAATAGGCAGTTTAAATGGCACGTTGTGCATGGATTCTGCAACAGCTTTATGATGTTCTTATAACTACAGTGCGTATTGAAAAAAAAACAACACCAGGAAAAAGTCTCGTTGACAATTTTATTTTTCTTCCTTTTAACGCAAAAAAAATATAACTTTCATGCATAGAGTGTGGATATAGATCAAGAAAGGATCCACATTCAAACCAAAATAACTGAAAAATAAATTATGTTCGAATTTGGAAATATGGGCATCTTACTATGCTATGACCAATGTATGATGACTTCAAAGATTGACTACAAACTACACTAATATCTTTGCTATTCGAATGGCACATTAACTAGTAATGAGTACTTGAGCCAATTGTCCATCAAACTATCGCGTGTAAAAAACATTTTCTTCAATAATGATGAAATGATTGATTTTTAATCAATTAAGAAATGATTTTTGTAATTATTTCTGCTTAAAGCTTTGATTAAAGTTTTATGATTATAATCGATTATTTCGTATTTATTGAAAAAAATGTGTTTTACATGATATGTTGTCTGAGACTGACAGTGACTCTTCCAAACAGTTCTGCATATTAAAAATACGAAGCTTGACTATTGCTGAAAGCACTTATTATTTTCACTCTCTTCCATTGAAATGGTAATAGAAGAAAAATCAAATGATTCTCATACAACTCAATTTTTAGCGTAAATTGAGGAGGAAGAAAAGACCGATCAATAATACTCTCTGCATAAAACATGATTCAATCATTTTTTTAATTTTTTTTTCGTGCACTTGACGACACATCGTCCTTGCAGAAGTTGTACATCGAACGTGAGTATTCAAATCGAGAAAACATATTGTAGCTAGTTATTTTTTGATCTATGAAATGGTTTCTGTCAACCAGATATGCTACTATCAATTTGAAAGCAAGCAATCAGATCCTATTACTGAAGCGAATTTGAAAAGGAAAGACTATCCATTTTTTTTTCTTGGAATTTTAGAACATTCTTTGTTCAAATAATTTCATTTTGTATTTAATACTAAGAGTTTATTGAACACAGTACTGAGTCTATCAATTATTTTTATTCAATTCTCATACAACCGTTATTTGACAGAACTTCCGTATTGAGCACAAACCAAATGGAGTTGGACAATATATTGTTCGTAGCTAACAAATAGATTCATTAGTTTCTGTTTAGTTAGGAGAAATGATCTACTATGCAAGACTAAAAATTATACAATAATGAGT